GCTACAGTCTTAGGGAAAATGAGAAATGTGGCATCTCTGAGGTTCCACCTCAGTGGTGAGGCGCAGACACCCTGGAGCCTGACTTCCTCGCTTGGAATCCAGGCTCCCTCGTTACTATCAGCGTAACCTGGGGTCAACATACTTCCTTTCCCTTTATCTCAATTTCCTTATCTGTAAAATGGGGATTAGAATAAGATTGTTATGAGGATTTAAATAATTAATTGTAATTAATTACATAGGTAAAAATAATTAAATTAATTACATAGGTAAATGTTTAGAACAGGGCCTGGCACTGCGAGCACAATATAAATGTTCTATTTTTACCTCCTCTAGTTTGGAGGGTACATTCACAACTGCAGACCCAGCTAATGTCTCCAAGGACCAGCTTATCTACTAATTCATCAGATTGTTTTTCCCAATACAGCAATTACCCACAATTTTTTACCCTCAGGAAGAACCAATAAAAGTATTTTGATAAACCTTTGCATGATTCATTTCTCCTTTGGTTTTCTAGGTGACATAGGGATTAAAAAGAACTATCATTCTAAAAAAAAAAAAGTAAAAAACTATCATTCTGACTTTTATACTTTTTTCGACCTTCAGTTACATTAGATCAAACTCTAAGGAGTTAGGATGAAAGATACAGACCCTTATTTCTGATTAATTTTGTAGCTGCACACTGAGTTGCACTTCATACGAGACCTCCTGGTCCCTGACCCCCATTTCCCACCTATTTATTTCTGGTTGTTCAGGTGAAACCAGACAAGGGTCATGAAGAGTGAAAGGAGGGAGAGAAGCATAAAATCTGGTTTTTTTACCCTGTAACTTAAGGCCAGAACTTGCATTTCAGGTTAGGAAATTGCCCATTAGTTGTGTCCTTGTTTTTATAGCGCTTGTTCAAAAGTTTATTTTAGTCCCAGCACATGGCTGTTTACAACGCTCCTATTATAAATGGTCATTGACACTCTGATAGTTTAAGTTTTCACAGAAGCTACCAGAGCAAGTTGAAGCAAAAGGCTTCATAATGATAACAAGGCAAAGAACAGTAATTCCCAGGATGGCTTCTTCCAGCTAGGTTGTTAAAACTATCAACACTCATTTCCATAAATTCTATATCACCAATGTGTTTCTTCTTCTTTCTTCTCAGGTGACCTTGAACAGAAATTTGAACTGGAAATCAGTCCACTCTGTAATCAACAGAAAGATTCAATCCCTAGTATACAAATTGGTGAGTTGAATTCAGTTTTAATTTTAAAGGAATATTTTCGGCACCTCTGCCAAGAGTCACAAAGGCAAGACAATCTATGCAAAGCTTTTGAAAGACCCAACCTGGGACTTGAATCAATGTCCCCGTGAATGGCTGAGTCCAAATAAACACTCTAACCATGACTAATCTACTAGGTAATTACCAATTGAGAAGGTATGAAAAATAGGATAAAGCTTTGTTATGGACCCTTAACTAACCTTTATTAACATCATATTTCAGAATTAAATCAAAACCAAATAGAGTAGAAGGAAAGTAGTAAGAATGGGCTATTGGCTGCTGAAGACTAGATGAGCTCATTCTCTTTAGGACTTAGAGGGTGAGACGTCAGGGGAACCAGCCTTTAGGACCCTTCCAATTTGGATGACTATGCTCCATGCCCAGCATTCAATCCCCAGAGCCCAGACCAGACCTGGGCCCTGCCAGCCATGCTGTTCCCTGTGGCAGGGGTCCTATGCTTCTCTGCTCGCCTTCAAAACGTGCCTTCGGTCTCACTCTCCTAGGACCACACTCTCGAGGTCCATTGCACTAACCTGTTAAACTTTGATGTTAATGAATCTAAAATAAGTATTATTTTAGTAAGTTAAATATAAAATTATTAAGCAAATCTGGGAATTTTAGACATCTTAGTGGGGGGAAATATTTTTGACCCAGTAAGAATTTCTATCACTCCTTAAACACTCTACCAATTCCATCTACGTATAAAGCAAATCTTTCTTTTCCTTACAGTTCCCTCCGATTAAAACCACTCAGAACTTTAACTCTTTTACTTATAAGCTATGGCCCTGACACGTACCAGTTCATGTTTTCACCAGTTTTCACAGACCTCAGGCAGCTTAATGCACTCACAGTGCTGCAGACCCCTGCAAGGCACAAAGCTTAATGCCTTGACCTTGGGAGGGAAGGGGGCACCCGAAAAGGGAGCGACATTAACAGAGATGCAGCCTGGGCCCCCCGGATCCAGCTCCCCTGGACTGCTCTAGCTGTCCAGGTTCCCCGAAGTGATTCCGAAGCAGCACACCCTGACCAGCCCGAGGCCCGGGACCCGCCCGTGGAGCTCCGGCTGGAAGGACACGTGCCAGGCCCCCACCGTTACAGACACTGAACCGCCAGAGAAAACCATTCGCGTTGCTAAGCGCACAACCCGGGTTTTCACGGGGAACCTGGTTTCAGAGATTCTGTCCTGTTGTCATGAGAACGCATTTATTTTTTCAGATCATATGTCCTGATTTTTCAGCTCAGGAAACTGGGGTTACCATAGATACCTGTTCTTAAACCGGGGTGGGCACTAAGTGACCAGGAAACCCCGCGGATGCCGCCCGAGCCCCCCAACCGGAGCCAGGCGGCTACAGCCCACCGTCTCCCCTCCCTGCGGCTG